TTTTAGTGGTTGCTCAATCAACCACTTACTATGAAATAAATTTTGTATGTACATTTTTTTTATCAATTATTTTTTTTTTATTCTTTAGGCATTTATATTTGAAGAAGAAGAAGAAGAAAAGGGAAGAAGAAAGAGAGAACGTGAAAGAAGAAGAAAATGGAAGAAGAAGAAGAACAACGTGAAGAGAGAAGCAGGAGAGAAAAAGAAGAAAGAGAAGAAAAATAGGAAAAGAAAAATAGGATGAGAGGGAGTAGTTGGTTATTAGTTTAATTTTTGAATTATTATTTTTAACTTTTTATTGCACTAGTTATGTTTTTCATTGTTGTGGAATGAATCAAAGCATTTTTGGAATTCTCCCAAATTAGTTCTTTTTATGGAAATGGTTTTTAATAGATGGTTATTTATGTCTTTTAGCCGTTAATTAGAACTAGGGGAGGTTTTATTTTTTTAGGTGTGTGCATTGTTTTGTTGTTTGTTATTCCCAACTTTGTATGGGTTGAATATCAAGTGTTTATTATGGGATAGAAAATTTTAGGTTTTGTTTGGATTTTCTAGGTTTGGTTTAGTTAATTTTTTTAAAAAAATGGTATGGTTAATTGTTAGTAGATATATTAAAATAATATTTAAAATAAAATAATTAAAGTTGATTTGATGTAAAAGTAGGAGGGAGATGACTTGAATTGATGGTTAGTTAAAATTATGTGAATGGATGAACAGTGAATTAGAGTTGATGTTGTGTGTAAAAATGATTCATTGATATTATTTAATTATATTGATAATACTGATGATAGTGTGATTGATTTAAAATTGAGTTGAAAAAGTGGTTGAGTTAAAAATGTTGGGATTTTTTTTTAAATTTTTGTATCCAAGCATCCTAGTGTTTTGTCTCTTTTATCGAGTGTGTATTTGTGTTTGGTATTCTTGCCCTTGGTTGATTGCGTAAATTCAAGGGATGTTGTGTCCAAACTTTTAAAGAGATTTGTATATAAATAAACTCAATCCATCCTCAAGTCATACCCAAAATCTAACTCAATCTCACAATCCTCAATATTACCTATATAATTAGATAATATCAACCAATTATTTTTATACATCACATCAATTTTAATTCACTATTCATCTAGTCATATAATTTTAAGTATCACTTCACATCATCTCTCATACTTATATATCAAATCAACTTTAATTATTTTATTTTAAATATTATTATAATATAAAATCAAAATCTCACTAACTAACCATATCTCATTTTTCAAAATTAACGCTGATTAACTAAAAAAACTCATTTTGAACGAATATATTTATATACAAACAAACTCTAAATAAAATAAATAAAAAAGTAGTGAAACTTAAACAAATTAATATATTTGCAAACAAGATTTGAGCAGTAAGAACTCAATAACCACAAAGGAAAAAAGAGAGAGAAGTAATTTTCATCCTTTCAAAGTAAATGAGAGCTCCAAAGATTTTTCACTTGTATGANTCCAAACGAACAAATTATATTAAACTCAAAAGGTTTACATGGTAACAAACTGGTTAAACACACCACAACCTGCTAAAATAACAACACACCACAATCTAAATCTACTCGGGTGAAACATCTCACTGTTCACCCTCTAAGGCCATCAAGGCTAAATCATAACTAGGAAAAGAAGAACAAGAAGAAGCTAGAAAAATACAATCATCAAATCTAGATACAAGTTGAGACAACTCCTCCAACATAGCAAATGCAAAAGGTCTGACTCCCAAAGCTTCTGCAATTTCAACAGCCAACTTATGAGAATCCATAAAACAGATCACTTTTTTTCCAACCTTCTTTGACTACTAAGTCCAAAGCCTAAGTCACAGCAAGGAGAGAAGCTGTGGTGTCATGGTTCATGTTGTCCCAACACTTTTGCCACAAATTCAAAATCCCTTCCCTATCAGAAGCCACTCCTCCAGTCCCTACAATGCCCTTATATGAGATCAAAGTACTGATATGTAAAGACACGTACCCTAATTCCCTGGAAAATTCTCTTCAAAAGCCTATGTAGTATCTGGATGAGTTCTGAGTTTGCTGTGCTGGATTGCTGCAGCTTCTGTACATTCAATCCAATCTATTCTTGCATGCCTCACTACTTCTACTGCTTCAAATTTGATTTGATTGAACTGCATGTTGTTCCTTGACTTCCAGATTCTCCACAGTAGACACACAGACAAAGTGATTCTATCCTGCATAAGGTGATATCTGCTGCTTGTACACACTTCTTCCCACCATGTTTGGATGTTTGCATGGCTACTATGCGACAATTCCCAATGAATTCCCAATAGCTTCCAGCATCTTATCACTTCTGGACAATGAATGAACAAATGATCAATACCTTCTGGTTCCTCTCCACATAAAAGGCATATGGAGTCTACTTTAGAATGAATTTAGGAGAACCGAATGACAATAATAAATTAAAACTCAACTTAAATGGAGTAACTTTATTGGATTCTTTCATCGACTTTTCATTAAGATAATTGAATTGTGTGCACATAAAAATAATTTCAGGTCTTAATTTGGTTCTTGTGACGTGGGCTATAGATATGGAGGGCTTTTTTTCTTTTGGAAGGGATGGAAAAATGATATATGGAGGGTTGATGTTTGGATAAGCGGTAATGGCTTACATCATTCTATTGACCAAAATTTAAAATTAGTCCTATAATTCGGCCAAAGTGTAAAAATTCATCATGTCATTAATCATTTTTAAATTAGATCTAATAATTTGTCAATTTCATCAATTGGTCTTTATTTTATCCGCACCCTAGGACATGGCGTGACATGACTTGTTTTTTATTTGTCGTGGAGTGTCGTGACTGCTTCATGTGAATTTAATGATTCCAACATTTCAGGTAGAAAAAGAAATTTTGATTCTGTGGAATGTCGGGAAATGGAGAGTCGAAGATTTAGGTTTTTTCGCACCGTTGTCGATTTAGGTTGTTAACAGTTGAGAATGAATATGTCGATTTAGATTGCAGATTTGGGGGCAAAATATCATAGGCTGATTTACATACTTATCATTACTAAAGATCTTCATATCATTTTTACGGCAGAAAAAAAAAAAGATTTATCATATCAGGTTTTATGGAGACAATTAATATCAAAAATACGAATTCAGTTTAATCGCAAGAATCTCGCAATCACTCATCAGTTTAGTCCTATTCTGTAACAGACGCAATTAATCCTATTTTTTCAAAGCCCACCTTCTTTCCGATCTCATCGACTTGTTTTCTGCTTACGAGATAAACCCTAATCCCCAATCGTACCATCTCCTCTTCAGAATCTCGATTCAAAAGCGACGCCCGAATTAGACCCACCAGAATTCAAAAATTCTCCGCCACATTGAGAATGTTGAGAGTTTTGAGACGCCCGAGTTGATTTTCACTGACACGATCACTTTCTACGGCCATGTTCGTATGTTTGATGATGCTGTTGAGCTCTTTTAGTTACAACTGCAGAGGTGATGAAAAATAGGATTGAAGAGTCAACCTTCGAGGTTTTAACCTAAGCTCTCTGCAACATCGGGAATTTGAATAATGTTTACGATTTGCTAAATCATTTTGTAATCAGTGTTGATCGAACAATCTATTCTTTGATGCTTGACACAGTGTTCTGCTTAACTAACATAAATTTTACGTACACTACACCCACAATATAAAAAATATTGAACCAAAATCATTATATTGTTCTGTTCAACTAACGTATATTTAACGTATACTACACCCTAAATCATTATATTGTTATGTTTAACTAACGTGTATGTTACGTACACTATACTAGACCGTGCAACCAAGTTGGTTGTGATGGCTGGGTTGTGTCAGGTAAACAAAAATGAACAATGAACTCGCTGGAAGCGTCGAGGTTTATTGTGTTGTTTCTTCTCACGCTTTTGTCTTACACCGTGCTCTTCTATTGGAGTTTTGAGCTCAATGATTTATGATGGAGTAGGGAGCCTAAACCAACATATGCGGCATGGGCCAATATGGAGACACTTGGCAGCATCAATGGTGAAACTTGGGGATTTGGAAAAGATAGAAATTTGCATAGAGATGTAGGAGAGATTATAGTAAAGAAGAATATACACAATTACCGTGAAATTTGGTACCTGACGTTTATCAGTTTTTAGGAAACTGAATAAATAAATATATTTGGTAACCAACCTTAAGCCATATTTAATATAGTCTCCATGTATTTGAAAGTTGGTGGTATTCTTAATAATAATTCTATCTACTCGTAATTTTAAAAATAAGATTGAATGGAGTGGTAAGAGGAGTAAATTTCTCAATATCATAAGTTTCGCGTCTTCTCTAATCAGGCCACGTAATACACAATCACTCCACATACACAATCAGGCCACGTGAAGTCACGTCACTTTTTTTTATCCATAGTGCGGATAAAAATGGACAAAAAATTGATGAAATTAACAAATTATTGGACCCAGCATAAAAGTGGTCAATAACGAAATGAATTTTTAAATTTTGACCAAATTATAGAACCAATTTAAAATTTGGTCTTGAAAACAAATAAGTGATGTTTGGATGTGTCTAACACAAGATCTTCTAGTTTTATATACTTGAGAATAAGATGCCCAAAAAATTATATACTATATATTTATATATAATAGTTTTTAGGTATAAATAGATGCTAATTTAAAATTTTAGAAAACTACCTCTCAATTCAAGTGGGGGCAGAGAACAATAAAACAAAAATCCATTAACATGCATAATTTCTCAAGAACTACATGAGCAACAAGAAGAAGTAGAAAGATATAACATCTCATCTTTNATAATGAGGAGTAGCAGTACAAGAGCAAGAACTCAGCAACATCATAATAATAACTCATCACCAACTTTTCAATGCTGTTTGTAAGCAGCACCATGTCCATAAATGAACCTTGCATTCCCTTCTGTATAAATATGAGTCTCATTCTCTAATCTGCCACCAATGAAACAAAACAACATCATGTTAATAACTGAATACCATCCCTCTAAGTTTGTTAATAACTGAATTTTAACAAGTAGTTGGGGAATTTAGTAATTAGATCAGACCTCTATATATAGTATTTTGCTTTTTTGTATTACTAATTATCTATTTTAGTAATTAAAATAAATTAAATGAGAGGGGGCTCACGATTTTCGGACAGCTTTACTCAAAGTAGATGCAGATGAGAATGTTTTGCCATCAACATATCTGTTCTCCCCTTCAATCCTCTGCTTAATTCTCAGGTCAAATTCATCAGCACTCAATGTCAATGGAGAATCTGATGCCTGTGCCAAAATTTTTCTAATTATTACCCCCTTTCTTCTCATAAAAAAACAAATAGTAAATTAAACATATTGATCAAAAGTTATGAATTACATTATTACATAAAGTTGTGACACATAATAGATATTAAGGCAATACATTGAGATTTTCATGATCAACAAAAATCTTTATCAATGTTTTGGTAGAGTAATATTAATATTAATATATATAAAAGTTAAATCAATTTAATTATTTAAGCAAATTATAGAGAGGTGATAGATACCATGACCCATCCCCAAGTGTCAGCATAGGAAGGGATATGTGCTGAGTAAGGTACAACATCTGCAAACAAATTTAGATCAATCTTGATTAATTGCAGCACTTCTTTTTTTAAAAAAAAAATAACAAAATAAAAAAAATCATCTACTAATTTTATTTATTTATAGCCTAGTTATTTGACTTACATTTGAAAACCTGCCTAAGAGTGTTGTAGATGCAAGAAAACACTTCTGTGTGGCTGAAAATTCCAGCTGGCCCTGCCTGCATAATTCATAATAATTGAATATCATTTTGTTTTTAATTAATTAATATGAAATTAAATAGAGAGAGAGAGAGAGAGACCTGTGTGACAAAAATTCCAGCCTGATTAAGCCTTGGCTTAACAACAGATTCATAAAAGGATTTGGTATAAAGTTTGTAACATGGGCCTCCTTCAATTGGATCTGCCAAGTCCCCTATTATCACATCATAAACCTCATCCCTCCTTTCAAGCTCAGCCCTTATAATATAATTAACCAAAATAATAATAATTAATGAGAAATAGAAAAATCAAAATTAATAATGGGGGGCTAAGTTTAAATTAAATGGTCTGCTTGATTTCAAATTGAGAGGGTGAATATTGATTAAATTTTAATTTTTTGGATCTACCTTGCATCATTAATGACAAGCTCCAATCTAGGATCACAAAAGGCATCTTTATTGGCCACCAAATGTGACTTGCAAAAATCCACCACTTCCTGCACCAGAATATCATGTATAATAACTAATTTTAAATGGTGCACATTACAATAAGCATAAAAGTCTGGAAAATATTTTAAAAAAATTACGCCGTTCACCTACAATTTTTTATTTTTTTATATATATATTTTTATATATGTGAATTTTATTTTTTAATTATAAGTATTCTAATTTTCACTATTCATAAATGATTTTGTGTTGTTGGGCTAGTCTGATATGAGGCCTTGTAATTTTCAAATATAACCCAAAAACGTTAACCCCTAATCCAAACAGACAAATCTTATTTCCTGTTGTGGGCTTAGCCCGTTGGGTTATGACTTGAGAAAATTAATAGATTAACATTGGATAGAAAATAATACAGAAAATTATACTATTTATCTTCAAATCTCCTTTTATTTTTATATTTATGGAGTTTATTTTTTAATATAAAATATAGTAATTAACTTTTACACCATACGAATGATTTATTTTTAGTTTATTTTTTTCATTGATTTTAAAAATGTATTATTTTTTGGTTGATGAGTAGTTATAAATGATATGTGGTGGAACCTTCACCTCCCCCCATGATGAAAATGGTCTTCGGACTGAAGAATGCAAACCATAGTAAAAAACAAAATAATCATTATTAAAAAAAAAATGTCAAAATATAGAATCGAATAGAAATTTTATTTAAAGTTAAAAAAGTACTTGGGATGATTTAAAAGTGCTGGATGCACAAGTGACTCGTGGTATATGAACTCATCTATTTCTGCACTTTGAAGCTTCCCATCAATTACTAGAGCCTGAAATTCAGATCAAGTAAATAAATATAAAAATTGGAAGAAGTTACGTAGGATTGTAATTAATAATAATAATAATAATAATAATAATAATAATAATAATAATAATAATTATAATTATTATTATTATTATTTTGACCAAGATGTTTATTGAACCTTCCCAAAGGGCTTAGTGTCCAAGAGCTGGATGTCTTGGTATTGAGAGGCACTTGTGTGCAATATACTGCACCAATAAGAAGAAAAAAATTACTAAGGGTTAGATATATATACATATTTTTTCAACAAATATGAACAATTTTAAATTGAATTTCATACTTTAAAAATAATATTTATAAAAGTATGATATTTCACAACATAATTAATATACATTTTCGTTATATTAATAACCAGACTTTAGCAAGAAGAAGAAGAAGAAAAAAAAAAGATCAACATATTTAAGCAACAAGTCGATGTGATCGTATATATGATCAAAATGTGGAAGTGAGTCTAGTGTTGACCATCTAATTTCAAGCAAAGATAGAGATCAAGAACAAGTTCATTACATATATCCAAGAAATAATTAATTAAAAACCTATAGATTATAGATTAATTACCTCTTGAGTGCAAAACACCACCTCAAATTCTCCTCAATCTCTTCCTCATACCAACAACTCTTTCTTTGAACTCCCACTCCAATATTATTGCCATTAATATGATTCCCATTGGAGATTGAAATATCACCCATTTTTCTAACTTGGCTAATTAAAAGTCTTTGACAAAATTTAGGAACTAATAGATATTATTTTTTAGAGAGAGAGAGAGAGAAGTAGACTTGAGGGATGAAGAAAAATGAGCAAGGAGAGGGTTAAATATATAAGAAGGGAATTAAAAATGGCATGGGAAACTAGAAAAAGCATTATGATTGAGGTTTGGTGTGGGATCATAATAAGGTATAGAGTAAGTGTGGGTGATTTTATTGCAAGTGAAGTAAAGGAATGTGAGGTAAAAACATGCACCACAATCTTCATAGATTTTCTCAACTCACTTCCAAGATAAAGTTTTACTATTTTATTGTTATGTTTGTAGAGAAAGGTAGAAATAGGGATTAATTAATTTACTCTCTTCTTAGGTTGATCTGATGATATCCTCGCGTGGGTTCGCGTTGGTTGTCTATGTTTGGGACATTGATTCATTATGCAGACATGACACACGACAGTTATTATATTTTAGTTTTAATAAATTTTATATATATTTCTATAAATATATCACAAATTCATGCATGAATTGGCTAATTGTTGGGTGTGTTGATTGGTCTTTTTTGTAAAAAAAATAAAAATACATATTCTATATTATGAAATGTCAAACTTTTGTTTATGTTATTTTTCAAAGTATGAATTAGACCACCATTATTCGAACTTTGATCATCCGGAGTCTCCTCAACTCGACAAAAACAAAAATAAATCAAAGAGAAACGTGCAAGCACTAAAGCTCTAGGAAATTAAAATTGAGCCTTCGACCTAAATGATCAAACTTTCAACAAAGTCTTAACCTTTAACACAAGATAAGTATGAATTCAACTCTAAATTCACTTAGACAAGCAAGAAAAATGAAAAAAACCCCAACTTCCCCAAATTATCAAGCAAGACACTAAATTTAGCATGAAAAGCTCCATAAGTAAAAACGGATCAATTACAAAGAAGTGAATCTTTAATACTAAGTACTCACTCTCCTATTGTCTGCTTAAAGAAAATCAAGTAAAAAGCTTGAAATTTTAACAAAAATCGAGCCTAAACACAAAATCCCGGTCGAGACACCACTTCACCTTGAACAACTTCATAATAAGCAAGAAGGACAAAAAATCGAAGTAATAAGTCCTAAGCAAGGTACGTACTCTACTTTTGCAATCTCGGGTGAAATTAACGTGAAAAGATCAAAACTTTACTGAAAAACGGCATTGTAGGAAAAACTCGAGTCTTAAGCTCCAAAATAAAAAATAGAGACAAAAAAATATGACAAAGAGCAATTCCTAAAGTGGAAACTAGACAAATGAGGTCGAGATATTCCAAATGCAGAGGAACAAAAGTATTTATACTAACACCTTCAACACACACTAGAAAAATTCACAATTACTCAAACACACTCGCTAGCTAAGGTTCTTAGCAAAAAATTCACTAGGCGAGTGCGAATGATGTCAGTTGGGCGAAATGTTCGTAGGGTGTGCGGGCGAGTGATGTAGCGGGTCTCTGCGGGTGCACGGGCAGGATGCTCGCTAGGGCGAGGCGCTGGCAAGTGTGCAGAATGCTCCACTTGGGCGCGGCGCCTTGCAGGTGCTACGCGAGATGATCGCGGGGGCGCGCGGGCGAGCGCGCGAGGCATCTAGCGGGTCTCGCGTGGGATGCTCTCACAGCGAGTGGCAGACGAGTGTCGCGGGCACGCAGGCGAGTGGGTCGCTAGGCGAGGCTTCTGGCTAGTGCGCGGAGTGCCCGCGCGGAGCGGGTCGCTGGGCGCAGGTATGCGCTCGACTAAATACATAAAACACATAAAAATAAGCACAAAACATAACAAATAGGAGTTAGCCTCAGAAAAGTTACAATACAAAGGTCAGAAGGTAGTGGTTGTGACCTGGGGAGCTGAGAGTTGTACGATAAAAGAGGAAAGAATCTTAGTATGATGGAAAGTATAGTTTGCCAAGGAGAATTGCCTGAACAAAGACGTGGTAAGTTAGACAAGAGGATCTTGTTAGATCTCTTGTCTAACAATGATAGTCTTGGGCATCAAGCACTCATCCTATATAAAAGGTAGCCGGTTATATGTTAATATCTATCATATACTTACGCATTAAATATATACTTTTCATTTAATTATCTTAAACAAGTTTTTACTTGAGCATCGAAGTGTCTACACCAAGACCTCTCTCGGTGCATTGCAAGTCAGCGAAGCTCAAGGCAAGAGGAAGTTCGAGGATTGTTCGGTTCAACCTGGTCCGTGACAAATTGACACATCGGAAGGAGTGATAATTTTCATATTTATTCTTTTTTTTTTTCTCCTTCAATAAACTTGTGCATAATCTTGGTTAGAGAGAAAGAGGGGCGTGAAATAGATTTCATCATTGTTCATATATACACTCTTACCCATCAAACCAAATCATCACCATCATCTTCATCAATTCTACCAATATATAGATATAGAATATTTGTTTAAAAAAATTGTTTATAACGTAATACTACTTCAAGATTTACATTTATAGAATATGTATTAAAAATTGGATTACAACTTAATACTACTTCAAATTATATTTAGAGAATATGTGTTCAAATTTGATTATAACTTAATACTACTTCAAAATTTTCATTTATAAGGTAAAAACTTGGACCTGTACCAGCTAGTGATACATATGTGGACTTTCAGCACATATGTTAACATGTGCTTTATGCTAACATTTTAATTTGGCATACATTTGGCCAAATTTCTCTCTTGATTTTTATGTAAACGTTTTAATTTAGCATATATGCTATATTATATATCCTCACATTTGACCAACTTTCTATTTTATCCTTATGTTAACAACATTTTAATTTGGAATGCTATATTATCCATTCATCCAAATTAGACTATCTAACATGTCACCTATATAGTGGGCTTGATGGGTCCACTCATTGAAGATGTAGATGAGAATGATGGGATCATGCATGCATGAAAAGGCCCATTAATAAGAGCATGGGTATTATTAATGATGTTTGTGTGTGGAGTGAATTATACAGTCCAGATTTGAGAAACAAAGCGTGGTCACCAGAACAAGGATTTTGTAATTTGAACCCACTTCGTTTGTCCAAGATCATGATGTTTTCAGTATGGTCCAATAATTCAAATCTCAAGATAGATTTTGTAAATATTAAATGTCAGGTTTTAATTCACTTTTAATTCAAATGACAAAGACTAGATTAGTGTAATATTTGATAAAATAATCTCAATACTTATATGTTCACTAATTTTTCTAGTAATTATTATATTTTAAGGTTTAGTTAATTGGACCAATTTGATCTTTCAAGGAGGGTTTCACTCCCCTATCCTAACAAGTGTGTTCTCAATTTAAACAATCCATTAAGAAGTTAATGTTCCAATGAACATATTAATCACTAAAATCTACGACGAATATAAATATTTTGACATAACTAGTACTTAATCTTATGCACATGCACAAATATAAATAATACTTTATATTTTATATATATGTATATAATATTTAATAGATGCATGGGTGCATCTGTGCACATTCTAAAATTTTGACTAATAGTAGATTCACAATATAAATATAATTATTTAACTTACATAATAATCATTATATTGATCACATATAATGTGAAGAAAAATATAATATTATAATTTGAAGGGATCATAATCAATTAATTAATTGAAAAAATATTTATTTATTTTATTATTGTTATACCAATTGATTATGTAATTCAAAAGGATTCGGTTATGCCACCAAAATTAATTAATTAATTTTAATGAAATGAGATTAAAAAAATAATATTAATTGTAGACTATAGATCTCCACTCAATGTCTCCGTCCACGAGCCAAGCTCGAAGTTCGGCCGCTAATTTTTACTAAAATCGTTTGTGAATTTGGAAGTGTGTAGCTAAATTTGTTTGTAATTTTGTAGCTAAATTTTGTAATTTGTTCAGCAACTTGTTGCTAAAATTGTTTGTGAATTTGTAGCTGAAATAGATTGTTGGATTGTAATTTGTTCATGTCGCAGAATTTGGGCCCTTTTCTGGGCCGTGTTTTTTGATTATTATTATAAACTGGCGGGCCTGGCCCGCCAAATCCGCGGCCTGAGGCGGGGAGGGTTGGGCCTGCATTTCGAAGGCCCGCCATCCGGCCCGCCCCGCCAATTACCGGGCTTTGGCGGGCTACGGGCCGGCCCGGCCCTCCGGACCGTTTTGACAGCTCTACTCGCATCATACCGAAGCTAAAATGTTGTAACACAATTTGTATCTGATTAGGTTTGCTCACCCTCACTCTTTTCATTCAATCTCCAACAAGAATGGTAAAATTTATTTGGTAAAAAACCAGTAAACTGATTAAGAGATGGCACCTCTCGAAGCTCTGGAGCAGGATTTTCGTCTAATAGATTCCAGTTTCCGCATTTTTTGTGCAGCTCACGGCATTTTCACTGGTCTGTTTTTCCTTGCCTATATTTGCTTTTCATTTTCAACAATGGCGGGCATTTATTATGATTCTGTTGAGTGTCTGAATTTATAAGGTCACACGACCCATGTTCGAGAAATATAAGTTCTTCATCTTACCATTGATTGCGCATTCATTGTTTTTTTGAAGTGACGTCGAAAAAAAAAAGAGATGTTTCCATGTACTGAAAGCATGGTTGGCCATTTTTAGAGGTTTTCTGCGAGTTTTGTTAAAATCCATTTTAATCTGAATCTGATATCGTGGCATTATGTTTACATGCGAGAGTTAAGTTAAAAGTATTATAATGTTCTTGATTGGATGGAGACATACAAAATGTGGAATGTAATTATGGCTAAGAGTTTCTGAGTGAGCACAGGTAGTCTTGAATTTTACTACCATAGTGGTAAGTAACTCAAAGGGGACAATACATTTGTCTTTACATGAACTTTAGGTTATCCAGAAAGCTCATTGAGTTATTAGTATAAACTGCTAGATCTTAAGTTCGACATCCCTAAATGCAACCATTACCTGATGAAGTCGCTCAGTAACATTTCAAGCATTTTGCAGATCCTAAGTCTAGAATTATGGATGATATTTTTGTTTTTTTGATTTATCTTGTTTTCTCGTCTCATTTTGCAGTTGAAGATTTTCTTGTGCATGATCTCTATGAACTAGAAGCTTTTGCTGAACGAGACTATAAGCAGGAAAAGTTGAAACAGGTTAGCCAGTTTAGCTGTTGAAGAAATGTATTTAGTTTTTCTCATAGAATCAAATGAGTGTTTTTGTTTTTTGGGTGTTAGGGGATTAGACAAATGGTCTCTATATTAGAGCACAAGCATAAGCCTTGGTTAAACGGTATGGAGTTATTAGAAGATGCTGAAGTCAACAAGTGCACTCTATCGAGTGGGTGGGAAAGGTACCACAGACAGTGCTGCATTATAATTTTCACTAAAATGTGTTTCTTAATTAAAGGATTATGACATCCTTTTTTATTAGGATTGATGTTCTTCTGCAAGGAGGCTTACGTGAGGGACACATAACGGAGCTAGTTGGGCCGTCATCCTCCGGTAAAACTCAAGTAAGAATCTCTTAGATAGTGAAATAAGTGCTGGAAAGATTTTTGGCCTCTTTCTGGTTTTAATTTTTGGAACAATCAAATTATCATGGCTCCATCTTTTATTTTTCTTTGTAAGTTTGTAACAGTTTAACTTGATAGGTTTGCCTTAAATGTGCGTCACATGTGGCAAGAAGCTATTCGGGCATGGTGATGTTCTTTGACACAGGCAACTCATTCTCAGCGAAACGAATTGCACAATTTCTCAGTCTAACATCAGGAGCTGCTAATATTGAAGTAAATGTTTAGTATTTAAAATTGTATTTCTTTTGGACCTTAGTGTGAACACTACTTTTGAAGTGTTTAAGCAGAAAGAAGTTCAGGGAGTCATGCGTATTGCTGCAGTATAACTCACCATGTGCTTTTATTCTCCTCAGTTTGACTAGGTTTTGAATAAATATTTGCACATGTTTTATACAAGTATAAGGAACTGTATAAGACTTCTGAGACAAGTAAATTCTGGTAAAGCCATGGATATCTTTGTGTATGATATTGTTAAACATATTCAGATATATATTTGGGTTTTTTTTTTTTTTGTTTTTTTTTTTTTTTATACAACTCTTGAAAAATTATTTCATATTTGATATTCATATTCCTGCAGATAAAGAAGACCGTTCAACAGGTAATGAGCAGCATAGTATGCCATTCGATATTCGACATGTTCACTCTCTTGGACATGCTTCGTCAGCTGAAGAATAATTTGACATCTCAGGTTTTCAATCTCTCATTTAAATCTCTTTCCTCTTTTAATCTTTATATCTCCTGTTTTCTTAAGCTTGTTAAATTTTCTTTCGTGTTAATCTGGAAACATATTTATTCAGGTCGGTTGTCAGGTCAGGATGCTTATAATTGACTCTCTTTCATCACTTATTGCTCCAATTCTTGGAGGTGGTGGTGTCCATGGTAATTCTGTAGAAATAGGTTTCAATTTTTTAGTGCTAGCTAGGAATATTAGCTTTGTGTTTAAATATTGATTATTTGCTTTCCTGTCGCTTGGATTCGTTATTTTCCATGTGGTTAATGGTTTTGGATGACAATTATTCTCCTCAACTCTCGAACTATTATATTCAATCAGCCGAATTCATGAATCTTCTCCCTGTTCAAGTTGGCAATAAATTGCATAGGATCAATTCAGTTGCTTGATATATTATGGGGATTTGATCATTGAGATTGTTTTGGCATGCTATACATCTCTCTAAACTATAATTGTATTGGCAAGGTAGATAGTTTCATTTAGTTACAGGCTGTGTTTGTATTTATCTAAGCAATCATTACTCCTTTGCTCAAAACAATAAATGAATTAATTTGAGGAAGTGCAACTCATGTTTATGGTATCTAAACCAATTGCTTTTGTGGCTTATATATACAGGACACGCCTTAATGCTCACTACTGGATTCTTGTTGAAGGAGCTTGCAAATGAGCATAACCTTTCTGTTTTGGTAGCTGCTTTTATCCTTTCTTTTGTTCTTGCAAGTATGAAACATTCCTATCTACAAATTAATTCTCATAATGATTCGGAAGATTTGATCCTTCAGCACTTTAATGCAGCCTTGAAATCAATATCCCATATGTTGACTGCTGAAGCAAAGCTACAGATTCCCAGTTAATTTGATGGTGTATTTGGAGTGTACGGCTTATTCAATGTTCTTAAGAAGTGAGGAAAAAGGATTACTTTGTGTAGATGTTGTATATTTATTTGGGTTGAAGAGATAAATAGTTCAAGTAAGGTAGAATTTTATTTGCTAATTTAACGGCCAATGTCAAACTACAGATGGAGTCTTGATTTGAAAACTCGTCAGCTCGTCTATAAATAGCTGGGAACATTGTTCCATGTGTAATCTATGTTTGGTGGCATATCCATGAGAAATTATATTTACTCCTATTGTATTAAATGATACAAATGATCTCAGGTGACTAACCATACAGTGGCTGGAGAGGCTGGTATCTGTAAACCAGCATTGGGCGAGAGTTGGAAGAGCATTCCGCATGTTAGGCTTATGCTATCCAGAAATCGTGCAACCAATGGAAGCCGCATCTCGATACTTAAACACCCGTATCTGGTATTTTTTTTTTATTTTTTTTTTGCATTTTTGTATACGTTCATCTGCAGGTATAAGCTTTTTGGTACCTATGTGGCATTTTAACCGACTTAACCCTTTTTCTCCTTACTCTTCAAGAGTTTCTTGCTTTTGATATTAGAATGGTGAAGATCCTTTCATGTACATTCTTCGTTTCCCAACACATTCATATATATGCAAGCATAAGGATCAGTAGCCTTGAATTTTAGTAGGACCTGATAAACGAAATATATATATATATATATATAGAAACTGNAAAAAAAAAAAAAAAAGGATAAGGTACAACTGAAATACTGTAGCGAACCTATCCTTTTATAGCATTTGAAAATAATAACTCACGAAAACATTTGAAATAAAATTTGTACAAGTCACCACACTTACCAAAATATTTCGAATACTTAAACACAATCATATAAGAGTAAATAAAATTAACATTTTCATCCAAAGGAATCTACTTCATAGTCAAATTCTTAAATTGCAACTACGTAGTTCAAAGGATATGATTTGTTCGAGATGCCAAAATATAAATAATGTTTCCGAGTGAAACAAAACTAAGTCAACATCATAAAACGATTAAACGAATATTACTTTCCCCACCACGTCACCGGCTCTGTCAACCTAAACAATATTTTTAGAGAAAATTTTGGGTAAGCAAAAAAATGCTTAGTTGGGGTTAATACATGTCACATATAAGTATCACATAATCACCAAATACTGAAAACTTTATGTTCTATGATTGCTCCAACATATTTTTACGTGGAAACTAATGCACGGAGTACTCATAGGGCGGATCCAGAAATTTATTTTGAGGAGGGCTATATATTTTTTTAATAATTATATATTTGAATTAATGTCATACAAAATAGAAAGTTGTATTGTAAAATTATATATAATAATAGTGCAATATGAATTATAAACTTTCAAACATTGACAATAGCAAATTTATATTGAACGCTCTCTCAACTCATGTATTTCATTAATGATTGATGCAATATTAATAGTTTTGATATTTTTTCTTTCCATTAAGCTATCTTATATGGACTTCTTTTCCAAGAATTACCAATTTTTACGTTTTCACATATTTTCCATACATTTAATTTATTTAGATTAGAAAAAATGCTATATAAAAGTGTAAAAAGAATATAATTTGTAGTTGAATTATCAGTAGAAAGAGTAATACAATTATTATTTTAATATAATAGTATGAGTTTATGTGAAAAATAATATACTTATCATACACACATATATATATATATATAATACAAAAAATTAAAAATTTTGGGGGGGACAATGTATTAGAAGAGCTTCTCACTTATGCCATGTCATCACCAATGAAGAAGAGAAAAGCTACACACAGCCACGGGAAGAATCTGACGTGGAAAAGTCAGTTGCATGACAATGCAAAAGAACATGTGTGATGAATTATAGAAACCCTAGGTGATGTGAACCGTACACGTGTCCCTTACCTTTAACTAGATGGTAGAGAGATGCGCAGCATTATTAATGCGCAGCAGTGAGCTAAGAGAAGATAGAATATAGATCTGAGAAAAGAAACCATACACTGTTACATTGAAAAACGAAAAAGATGAATGCGATTCTTGTGTTTAAAGTTCTCATGCTTTCTCTTATGTTTCCTGTCATTTTCTTTCATGGTATCAGAGCTTAGGCTCTGATTACCCTCATCTCTGATCGGCATTTATTGCCTTCACATGGCTCTCATTACTCAGCCATGTGACCCTGTCATACATCTGCAAAACCAGGTTATTACCACTAAGCTAAATGAGGGTAATTTTCTCATATGGGAACAACAAATCTTGACAACTATCAGAGGACATGACTTGATTGGCTTCTTAAATGGAGAAACTCCACCACCAGACAAGATCACTCGAGATTCAACAACCAATGAGCTCACAGTCAACAAAGCCTACATCAACTGGGTCAAACAAGACCAACTGATAGCCTCATGGCTTCTGTCTTCCTTATCAGAGAGCACTTTGGTCACCACAGTTGGGCTCAACACAGCAAAGAAATCTGGGACAAGAGTACAACCCAGTTGTGGTTAACCTAACCTCCAGAAAAGAAAAATGTACCATGATGGAAGCTTACTCTATCTTGCTGAGTTTTGAGAACAGATTGGAAAGCTTTGACACTACTACTGAATCAGAAAGCTCTTATCTAGCAGCAAACTTGACCACTCATCAAGCTCAGTTCAAAGGTAGAGGTTTTGCTAGCAATAGAGGAAGATCTGGAAACCATTTTGGAAATAGAGGAAGAGGCTCAGGTAGAGGTGGACCAAGCAGAGGCAGAGGAGGAAGATTTTATCAAGACCGCCCCAGATGTCAAATTTGCAACTACAACAATCACACTGCCAAAGAATGCTACTACAGATTTGATTCAAACTTTGTCTCAAGAAATTCAAGTCAGGCTCCCTCAAGCAGTTCGGGTAGTGTTGGTGATAGCAGCCACTCCTCAGTTCAAGGATATCCCTCAGCTCATGTAGCAAGCTATGGCCAGCAGAACAGTGATATGTCACAAGACTTCTACTGGTACCCGAATTCAGGAGCAACACATCATTTGACCAATGACCTGAATAACCTCAACTTGGCCAGTGACTACAATGGATCTGATAAGGTCCAAACAGCCAATGGTATAGGTATGGACATTGTCACCTCGGTAACTCTATGTTAAAATGCCCTAACTCCACAAATCCTCACACTTTCCTTCTCAATAACCTCATGCATGTCCCACACATAACCAAAAACCTTATCAGTGTCTCAAAGTTTGCCAAAGACAATTCAATTTTCTTTGAGTTTCATCATAATTTTTGCTTTGTGAAGGATCTCAAGACCGGGGCCCCACTACTCCAAGGCACACTTAAGGATGGCCTTTATTGCTTCAAGCTTGTTAGAAGTGACAATGATCCTATTTGTTCAAATTCTTCTGTTTCTCCCTATTGCTTTCAGTCTAGTTTGAACTCTATTAATTCCCAAAATGTTGTCAGCCTGGATATTTGGCATCAAAGGCTTGGCCATGCATCTTTCAATGTTATTAAGACAGCTTTGACTAGTAGTAATATTTCTTTTCTTGATGAGAAAGCTTATGGTTTATGTGATGTATGCATGCGATCTAAATTTCACAAACTTCCTTTTCATGATTCAGATAATAGAAATTGTAAGCCCTTTGATTTGGTTCACTCAGACCTGTGGGGTCCTGCTCCTGTGACCTCACATAAAGGTTTTAAGTATTATGTTAGCTTCATTGATCACAGCTCTAGGTTTATATGGTTTTACTTGTTAAAATCCAAATCAGACACCACTTCTGCTTTCCTTCACTTCACTGCATTAGTTCAAAATCAGTTTGGCTCTAGTGTCAAAACTTTTCAGTGTGATGGAGGAGGTGAGTTTCTAGCCCTTAAACCTATTTTTGCTCAAAAAGGAATTGCTTCTCACATTTCTTGTCCTTATACACCTGAGCAAAACGGCCTAGCTGAAAGAAAACACAGACACATAGTACAAGTAGGCCTTTCTCTCCTTTTTCAATCAAAACTTCCTTTTTCATTTTGGGATGAGGCCTTTTCCAGTGGTGTTTACCTTATAAATAGAACACCAAACAAAATCTTACACTACTCAACACCTTTCCAGTCTTTGCATCATCAGGAACCTTCATATCATCAACTTAAAGTGTTTGGTTGTTTGTGTTATCCTCTACTTAAACCATATAACAAACATAAACTTCAGCCAAAAAGCCTTGCCTCAGTTTTCATTGGATATAGCCCACTTCACAAAGGTTATAAAGTGTTGCTTCCTGACAAAAGGATCATAATAACCAGACATGTCATTTTTTATGAGCACACTTTTCCTCTTGCTGCAAATTCATCTGATTTACCTCAACAGCAAACACCTCACTCTTCTTTTCCTACTTTTATTCCTATTCCAACTCTGCTACCTTCATTAATTCTCCTCCTGCTAATCCATCTGTTCCCAACACTCCACTTCCTTCTCATTCACCTGGACCACACATAAATTTTCAATCAAGTTCACCACCCACCACACCCATTCATCATGCTCAACATAGCTCTCCCCATATTCAAAACAATTCATCCAGTTCTCTTTCACAACCTTCATCTCAATCCTCTATACCCATTGGGCAAATATACATAGATTTACCTTTGGAGCAATGCCATACCTCTAACCCTGCTGCAGGTCATCATCACATGGTCACCAGATCAAAATCAGGGATATTCAAGCCCAAAGTCCTTGCAACATCAGTCATCTCTGCTTCTTCTTCTTCAGAATCTTCCTCAACTGAAGAAGCCCTTCTTTCACCACAATGGTTTGCAGCTATGAAGCAAGAATTTGATGCATTGATAAAAAACAACACTTGGACTCTTGTTCCATCACCACCCCATCAAAACATCATTAACAGCAAATGGGTTTACAAATTAAAAACAAACCCAGATGGCAGCATTGCTAGATACAAAGCCAGGTTAGTGGCTAGAGGCTTCACTCAGTGCCCTGGTATAGACTATACTGAGACATTTAGCTCAGTTGTTAAGCCTACTACAATAAGAATGATCCTCTCTATTGTTGTTTCTCTTGGTTGGCACATTCACCAAATTGATGTGGACAATGCTTTTTTGAATGGAGATCTAGACACTGACATATATATGTCCCAGCCACCTGGTTTTGAATCTCCACTTTGCCAAGGGTATGGTTTGCAAACTTCATAAGTCACTCTATGGCTTAAAACAAGCCTCTAGGGCTTGGTCTTCAAAACTTTCTTCCATTCTTATAAATCTTGGTTTTCTCTCTTCAAAGGCTGATACTTCTTTATACTACAAACACTCTAATGGAAGTTCATTGTTCCTATTGGCATATGTAGATGATATTATCATCACAGGCAGCCATTATGATCAAATTCAATCTGTTATTCAATCTCTGTCCACCATCCTTTCTCTCAAAGACCTTGGTCCCTTGCACTAT